TTTTTTAAGAAAAAAACCTTTTTTTTTGCAAATTAGAACAGTTTCATCAGTATGACACAAACCCAAGTATATCCTTCCACTTTGTCTCTCCTCCAAGACTGTTAACAACAAAGACGGATTTAATCAACAGGAGGGACAGTCCCAAAGCACCCACCTTACTACATGGCAAAACTAAACATGACAGCACAATCTAGGTTCCCAACACATGAACATGAGCCACGCCCCCAAACCAGGTAATATACATCTTTAATGTCGTTAATTTAAGGGAATACAATTCTGGAAAAATAAACGCTTGCTGTGTCATAATGACGGTGCACTGACAGCCTTTTTTGCAAACCAGTTTGGTTTGCTTTGTGTTCTGTTTCGAGGAATGGTTTTCAAGGCCCATTCTCAGACATGGTTCTACTTTTGGCTTCATTTTTCTCAATACTGATGCTGCCCTATTGGTTTCACAGGCTTATAAATGTTAAACATCAAAAATTAGTTTCACTTATTATGGTTGGAAAAGGCTTTAAGAACTCTGGGATCTGTGCCTCTGAGCAAAGGCTTTATCAGCAGGTCCCAGTCACTGCTTCTTGAAAAAAGAACACAGCACTGATGAAAAACCAATACACCTGATTTCCTAAAGGACACCTACCATGCACATATACCTTTAACTCATAAAGGGTTTCTGCCCCAGATCACAATTACTTACTTCTCAAAATCCATCTTTCATATCCATGGTGACTAGCACCAAGGAATAAAAATTTAAAAATTAAACCTCAAACTAAACTATTTATTCAAGAATCCCATCTTGATTACTTTAGTTATTCTTCATGGGTGGTTAATTAACATGGCATCAGTATCTCTCCAATGTCTGTGTCTGAACAGCAAAAGCTTTCCAGATGTTTTTCCACTTATACAGGAAAAGAATAAGGCCCAAATTACTGTTTTTCCCTTTAATCAGAATTCTTTAACCCCACGCTAAATAAATTTATTTTACTAGAACAAAGTGTTATATTTGTATGGAAGTAAAAAGAACACTTGAGAAAAATGTTTACTATCCTTGTAAGTGCTGAAAACACTATACGTTTCTAAAGCCATCTCATTTGTCATAATATGTGACAGGAAATAACAACTCTTAAGATGGAAAATACCTAGTCAGTATTATGCAATTCCCATTTCTAAAATAGCAGCATGACCAAACAAAACACAGAAACTTAATATCCTCAAACGAAACACACGTTTCGGAGGCCTCGAGGCACCACTCCGTTGGCTCCAACAAGCAGTCCACCTGGCAGGGAAGGGAAGGGAAAGCTCACGAGTGACCACTGGTGAGGCAGACGAGGTGGGGAGCCAACATGCAGCCACTGGTGGACACACAGCCACAGCAACCCATTCCTCCCAGCGCATCACTGAGGAAAACCATATCCAATCCCAACTGTCCAGGTTTACTGAGAGACTTAACATAGATACATAAAAGATCCTATAATCCAGTATCTCATTTAAGGCAAATTTTAGATCTGGTTTGCCAGGTAAAGATGGGAAGTACAACCAAATAATGTGTTTTAAAGACCTAAAGTCATTTGGCAACCAGTTATTATAATAACAACTGTCTCAAGCAGGAAAACAATTGGCAATGAATGCTAGAACTAGTGGGTAAAGAAAAATGAGAAAAAGAGCATTTACACAGTTTCAAATCCTCTCCCACCTCTCCATGAGATACTTATTGGTCACACAGGGAAGAACAGAAATAGCGTAGAGGAGAAACCTGAAGACACCACCTTAATCAAATAATCAAAGGAATATCATCAATAAATTGAACAAAAAGGTACCACATGCCTCCTGATAGGCTGCACTGAAAAGGACGCAGCATCATTCCTGTGAAAAAATGCATAACCTGAATCTAATCATGAGGAAGCATCAGAGAAACCAAAATTGAGGGACATCCTACAAAATAACTGGCCCCTTACTCCTCAAAAATACTAAGATCCTGAGAACGAAGACTGAAGAAATATTCCAGATTAAAGAAGACTAAAAAGGCATGACAACAAAATGCACTTGGACCAGGAAAAAGAAATTTTTCTTTTGGTATAAGGGAAATCAGTGAGACCCTTGGCAAATCTAAATAAGGTATATAAACTAGAAAGAATGGCAAAGTAAATGTTACCTGTTAACATTCCAAATATCTGGGAGAAATAGAAAATCTTTTTACAAATTTTGCAATTTTTTGAAAGTCTGAAATTACTTCAAAATAAAAAAAATTTTTTTATCAAATATGTTCAAATATGTTCTTAAAATTTTAGCATTACTAACTTTACCTAAAAGGAACACAGAGCCCACAGTAAAGCAAATGCTTCTTTCTGAATTCCCCTTGCCTCTGGGGGGTAGGGGGGAGGCAGTGCTAATAAACAGAAAAAAGACAGAAGGAAAAACAGCCGGCCACTGGTGGATCATGTGGAGCCCACATTTTCATGCCACAGACCAGGGCTTGCAGTACAAGGCAAAGATCTGAGGAAACTTATTGACCTAGGGCCTCTGGCTAAGTCACAGCCACCCTGTTATTTGGAAGAGATCACAGAATACACAACTCTTAGGTCTTCTGGACAAAGCAATGACAATGGGACATCAGTTTGTGGACTCCTATGATCCTTGAAAGAATAGTGAAGATACAGAAGCCAGAAGCGTTTCTGAAAACAATCAGGCAGCTATGCGCTAAGGCCCTGCTGGTTTTATTACATGTCTATCTTTAGCTTTCTTGGAACTATCTAGTCAACTCAGAGACCAGCCATGTGCTGGTGCTACCAACGTTTGCTGGAGAGAAAATAATAATACCCACAATTTTTAAAGGGATTCAAGACACGTGCTCAAACATATGGCACAACATGCATTTAAGTGGAGCACTCAAGAATCAGTTCTCTAAAAGTGTTTGCTTCTGACCCAAATGAGGTGGATATTCAGAGCAGGCCACCAAAAGCTTCCACATTCCTTGTTTAGGTGTGACCTAGAGCGGTGATCACTGTTGCTGCCTTCTGTTCCTTTCAGCCCCTGAGAGCACCTTGACCCACTCTCACTCCCCCGTCATCATGTCCAACTGTGCCTACGTTTCCCCATCCCTGCAGCCGAATCGACCCACGGGAGCCTCTCTCAGCCCCACAAGCATGCCTCACCATGCTCTGATATTTCACAGTCAACTCCTCAAAATCTAAAGAGCACATGTACCACTGGTACAATTTACTACACTATGTGTACCTGCCAGCTGGCCAAGAAACTTGACCACCACGTCTAACAGCACTTCTATGGAAAAGTAAGTCCCAAGTGCCAGAACTGCCTACTTACTAACACAACGTAGTACCTGCTGAGTTTGTTGAACAGAATTTTAAAGATGATCTTTAGCATATAACTGACTTGTAGGGATAAGGGCCCAGACACCTCTCAACCTGAAGAAGCTACTATAATAACCAAAAGCTAACACTGAAATCCTACTGAGTTTGTGGAACCATTCAACACACTACCAAATTCACCTTATTAAAATGTAGTACCTGGATCTTCCTATTTGGAAAGAGTAATAAGATGCTATTATACTTGATGAATGCTATATTAGTGAAATCAAAATATGGCTACTTTAAAGATGAAATAGAGCAAACTGTCAAATTGAAAACACAAGAACATCATAAGCTTGGAAGGGAAAAGTGAATCTAAACACCACTCTCCTCCGCCCAAAAAAGCCAATATTAGAAAGTTTTTTAAAATCTCACTTTTTGAAAGGCCACATAACTGCCATTTATGTTGTTTCTTGCCTACGTCCCAAACTCAAGCTCATAGCTTCATAACTTCCTTTAGATAAGCCATTAATAAACGCACATACATAAACATACCCATTATAAACAGCAGTATTTAATGTGACAATTGCTTTAAAAGGCTTAAGGGGAGAAAAGGATAATTTGTGAATCCCTAAGCCTCACTTCTGAACTTGTTTTCTCCCCCACATAAAAATGTAAACCCCACAAGATACTTATGGCCAACAGCCAAAAAGAGAAAACAAACATTGCCACCAGCCGTCAGTGGTCGATTTTCTGACGTCTGAGGGTGGAAGACTGGAATGGTGCGTCCACAGAAGAATTTACTGAAATAGCAATTTCATCACTAATCTGTTTAGAAAAAAATGTTCACCTGCAGTTGAGTAAGAAAGAATAGTGCTGCCAGCCAACAGTTTACACAGATGACTGATGTCTTCTATGTAACTAAACATCATGGAGGAGTTTCAGTTTAAGAATAAGGTGGAGAAGGTAGGGATACACTAAAAATGAAAGCTGTGAGAGAGCTTTCCTTCTACAAACTAGGACAAAAAGGAATTACAAAACAATGACAGTAAAACATATGCCACCATGAGCTCTTTATGTGTGACTTTGCCTAGTGACACCTGGCAGTGATTCTCAACTGGAGGAATATCCCTCCCAGAAGGTGCACGTGAGAATCTTCTGGATGCCTTGTGCACTTGGGAAAAGAATATTCAATATACCTATTAGTTACATATTATAGACTATAGGCTAAAAAAAGGCTGAAAACTCTATAGGGCTGAGGGAGTTGCTTAGAATATGCAGTAAGAAAGCACTCCGGGGAGCAAGGGTTAGGAAAACCCTGAGAGATCTGACATTAGAACACACGGCTGCCCTCAGGGAGAGCTGAACTGAGTTAAAGATACAAATGGAAAAAGAAAGTTAGCCTTTTAATCATAACTGGCAAAAAGCTCTCTGAACCAGAGGAAATCCAGGGTTGAATACCAGTCATGGATTATTTCCACCGTAAGATTCAGACCAGGATAATTTAATGACATTAAAGACAAAAATAAAACCCAGCATTCTGAAACAAATGGCAGAATAAGAGAGAAGAAAATGGACAAGAAGGAAAATTTTGTATCAAATATCTGAATACTGAACTTACTTGTGATCATAAAAAGAATGTACATGCATTTTAGAAAATCTAGAAACACAGCTGTGCCGTCAGTTTGACTGACTCACCTCTCGAGTAGCCAGCTGGTTGCTGAGTTCCTCAGCCTTCTCAATGTTCCACTCGTCCACAGCTTGGTCTATGCTCTTTTCAAGGCCCGACTAAAAGAAGAGAAACCTAAGAGTTAGAGGCAGGAAAGAAAGGCAAACATTTGCTAGCAAAGACTACATCAGGGACCACACCGAACACATCACATACTTGGACCACTTAGTCCTCACGATGAGCGCACCTGGTGGTTGGTACCACTGCCATTTACTGATGAGAAGGCGGTTCAGAGAAATTGAATGGTTTATTCAAGGTCAGATCCGTTCTTGAACTAATAAAAAAGAGATTCCAGATCCAAATCCAGATTTTTGTGACTCTAAGGACTAGGCTTTCCCTTCATAATGATACAGTGTTAGTGATGAAAGGGAGACATTACGGTGTGCTCACTACGTAGCTCATCCTGGGCTCAGTACTGTAAGGAAGCTCACTGAATCCTTCCAACAACTTGACAGTCACCGAACAGACCAGGTAGGATACATCACACACTATGGAAAGATGCTTATTAAACTTAAACTGAGTTTTAGTTTGTGGAAATAGCTTTTACAGGCAATATGAATGTTTAAAAATAGTCTATTACATGCTTCTTTTATCCTAACAATGGCTTATCCAGTGTATCTTCCACACTGACCAACTTAGCCCTCCTTAACCTAATAAAGGCAGCCCCGGGAATGTCTCTTCCAACATTGTACTGATTGATAACATAGTCAACTGAGATAAATTTTGCTCCCATGCAGCCCTTGTTGAAACAAGACTTTAAAAATGCCCACACATAATTTGCCTAAAAAGATTACAGAAACAAAGAGGCTGTCCCTGATGTCTGTGTGGAAAAGACTGTTCCTTCTCACATCCCTCGTCCCACCCAAGGGCCTGAGAGGATGACTAGGCTTCTTTTCCTTGCCCCCAACTGTAACCGAGACGATCACTCAATAGCCCCCCAGAGGCTCTGACCCAGGCCGCACTGCTCTTCTGTCCTTTTCCCATACTGGTCCTGTCATCATCCACCCATTTCCAGAAATGTGTCTTGTATTTCTGCAGAATTCTTCTCCTGATGGTCCAGTCAACACCCCGGACCCACTCTCCCAACATCCTACAACTTCAGCAACCTCTAACACCCATCCAGAATCTATACTCTAGGCAGGGACTGTCCATGTCTGTGCCTCTGTGTAAAAGCTCAGGTCTGCAAATGAAGCCAGTCTACGAACTAAGCTCGTGCCAGAATGCAAATCAAGTACACGCACAGGTTTGTCTAGCTGCCTTCTCTCAGGGGAGGAGGAGTATGGGAAGAGGACAACAAGACTGTCTCAAAGAAGGAAGCAGTACACGGCATCACATTCAGGTACAAGTCTTTTATCTCTTGGGAGACCAGTACCTTGAATAGGCTTGCTTTAGGCCATGTAACAGCTTTACAATCTAGAATTCTCTCTAAACACAAGATTCTGCCCCTTCCACTTACCCCAAGTCTTCGAAGCCAGTGAACCTGCCCTGTCTTCACGTGGAATACCCTGCTCCAGCACCACCGTATTTATTCTTACAGTCCTTTCAGCCCCTTTCTGGATTCCTCTATCCTCCCTCTCTTGCCTGCAACCCATGATTAATCTTTTCAAATTAGACTCTAGGCCAAAAGTTCTCAAAGTCTGGGTCTGGACCAGTAGCATCTGCATTACCTGGGAACTTGTTAGAGATGCAAAACGGAATCAGAAACTCTGGGAGTGGGACCCAGCAACCCACTGATCCTCAACAGGCTAAAGTTTGAGAAGCACGGACCTAAGCAGTACCTTCAGCTTCCTCCAGCATCACATCTCGTTTTGGCTGTTCCCAGCCATGCGTTTCCACTGCTTTAACATCCAGGTGTCCCAGCAAAGTCAGAGAAAACCGAACGACTCAATTCATCAGCTTTACTAAATGCTGTTTTTCAAACTCAGCTGGGTGGGCTCTCAATTCTGCCGTTGAAAGTTCCCATATTCCTTTAAGAAGCTGTTGCATGTCTTTTCCATTTTCTCAAATACCCTCAGCCCTACCTCCTTCCTTTTCAGCAGATTCTAACTCTTCTTCCTGCTTCATAGGAGGCTGAGGCAGGGGAAGGAAGGAAGGAAAGAGAATAACCAAGAGTAGGTATGCCCTTTCTATAATCTTGCTCTCACCCATATGCACATCCAAACTCTCTGCTTCCATGAAGAGATATTAACATTCCAAATACTTTCAAAATGTTTACATTAGCATTTAAAAAAATATCCTTAAGTAAAACACTTCCATCACTTTAAGACCAAAAGTTAATAACAGTTTACAAAAGAACATGGTTGTTGAGGTCAGACCTGGGTTCAAATTCCAGCTCCTCTACTGACTGGTCAAGAACCCTGAGTGAGATCTCAAACCTCTACAGGCTACGGCTATCTAACCTGTAAAATGAAAATACTGCCACATTCTTTGCTAGGTTATGGTAAAGGTTGAAAAAAAAAAAACAAGTAACATGCCTAGTAAAGTTTTTAGAACGTCATTAGTCATTCAATAAATAAATTATTCATATTATTAAACCTATCAGGATAACATTAAGACAAACAGAAGGTTCAGCTCTATTTAACTACAGACCTCATTATCATTTGTCAAGGGCTCAGACCCAAGTATATGACCCCAGAATTCAATGTTGAGTCAGTAAGTTATCTCATGAAATAAGATTTGAGTTTTAAAGCTTTTTAAAAGTCTTACATTGGACCGCAGGGGAAAAAAAAATTGGTAATTTCTCCATAAAGGAGGAAGAAAAAAAAGAATTAAGCATTAAGTGTTGTGATCTTTACATATAAATCACGCCAACTTAAATTATTTGAATCAGGTAAGTAAAAATTAAGTTGGGCTATTACCTCAGAAAAATCTAGATTTGGGACCAAAATGGCTTGGGTTAAAATCTCATTTTACTTTTCACCTGCTCTGTTTTCTTAGCTAAGTCATGTTGGGTTTCAGTCCTTCACCTGTATTATGAGACTAGTATTGGGGATCACATAAGGATCAAGAGAGGAAGCTTTGCAAACTGATACCAGGGGAATATCGGGGCACCTCTACAACTCTCCCCCCACCACCCACCCTGCTCCCTCCCACTCAAGGCAGCCAGCCTGTGGTCTGTGTATTGGTGCTCCATGTAAGATTCTAGTAAGAAAAAGTATTCTGCTAAAAAAATAAGTTTGCAAAAAGCCACACTTTACAACAGCAGTTTCTTCTCATAAATAACTAAAAAAAGATTATCAAAGACATTGTACGATTACTCTAAAAATTATTAGAAGAACCTCTGGTTTTTCTTGCCAGAAAGTATCCATTAAGTACACATAAAACTACTTCCAAAAGTGACTGCTGACTAATCAAATTGATTCAACTGAAGAACACCTGAAACATTTATAATGAGATTAATGAGTAAAATTTATTCCAGAAAAATTCCCACACAGATTCAAAATAATTATGATTACAGAATTATTGGTAAGTCCCAGAACTGCTGCCAGAAACACAATTAGAGCTGTATTTAATACAAAGAACACTTTAAAACAGCTTTGGATATGAGGAAGATTACATTTTAAAAATATAAGCCTCTCTGCATTGTCAGGGAAGCAGGTGACAGCAGTGCTGGAAACACACATCCTTGTTTTGAGCAACAGTTTTAGCTTGGCAGTGTTCCAAGGCAGGGGTGTGGATGGGGGGGAGAAGAAAGAAAAAAAAGAAAAAGAACAAAAAGGAAAAGGACCACATGATACACACAAGATTAAGAAGTTTGTTCTGTTTTACCGATCTTGAGAGTTGAGTGATTGAGTAAATATGGACTAAAAAAGGGTTTCTGAGGTTTGGTAACAGATCAGCCTCTGCTCCAGAGAAATAAAATAACAGACCAGAAATCCATGCTAGTTTTGTCCAAACTGCATCATGGATTTTCAGGATCCTTTCTAGATTCCTTGAGCAGGAGCTATTATCTGCTGGACTTCAACTTATTCTTAGCTTTTACCTTGGTGCCTCCAATGTGGACATTCTCCAATGTCTGTTTACTCTGTTGGATTCACAGTAGAAACTTTCAACATGACAGCAGCAGGGGTGTATGTAAAACAGTGTCCCAAACCAAAGAACGAGTGTGAACCTGCTGGCTGCAATTATGCTGAACTACCAAGAGAATATGAAATAATCTGGTGTGTCACCAAATCCTTCCTTTCCTCTTGTGCGTACACTTGCTTACAGAATAATAAGTGTTGGGAACATCCTGAGCAGACACAAGCCTGTCTTGTTTAGAGGATGCCATGACTTTCTAAGTCAGATGTCATTCATTGAGAGGAATACCTACTGTTAAGGAAATTCAAACTCATAAAACAGATCAATGGGTGATTACAAAAGCATTTATAGTGGTCTTCCCTCTTTTTTTAAAAGGTGTTGACTTAAAATTTTTTTCTAGAGTACATCAAATGTACAATGTGAAACAGAACACTAGTTCCTAAAACTGAGTTCTTTAAAAGATCCTGCACAAGGAATCCTAGTATCCTTCACAAATTCCACATCTTAGACAATGATGGGTTAGCCATATCTTGCCAGGATCAGGAAGGTACAGTATCACATATGTAGGGTAATAATAATGTTCTAAAATAAATAGACTGTAAAAAATACTCCCTACATTTCTACCTTTTGGAAAGGCTAAAAACTGAATTTCATGGCTTTAACTTCCCTAGGAAACAATTTAGACATTCCAAAGCCAACAAAGTTATGAGAAAACATTACAAATATTATAAATAATTGAAAATTAAAGACCACTTAATTCACAGGTAAAACTGTAAAAAATATTTCCTATGAGAACCAATATTTAACCATTCCTTTCCTCAGAAGAATAATCTAGCCAGCGGTTGGAACTCCAAAACAGGCCAGAGATGGCCCGTGGACCCCTGCTGTCAGCATGCACCTCCTCCCTCAGGCTTCAGAACAGGTGTGCTACCGTAAGAGCATCCTTCTCGCAAGAGCCCTCCTCCCAGCCCACCAGGTTCACAAGGGGCAAGAGCATGGTGCTCCCATTTTACAATGCTCACCAGCCCCTGTGGCAGTGAAGCTGGGAACTGAGAATGGTGTAATAAAGCCCGGGTTTTAGTTTCAACCTCTACCAGGGATCTTTCTTTGTGAGAAACTGAGCATTTCTGCACCTGCTTGAATATCTGTAAAAAGGAGATTGCTCAGCAGCTGTAATCAGTTGCAGCAGAGAGTGATCCTGGTTCCAATTCCCCAGTGTTCTAGGGACTAGGTGACAAGAATTCTTGGCAAAATTGGAATCCAAAGGTTCACACGCAAAACTCTGTTGTGGCAGCTCTTTAATGCATGTGCCCTCAATGACACAATACCACCCAACGATGGGTTTAAAATCGGAGGTTTTTCACAAGAACAATTAATCAGAAAATGGTAATGATTTCTACGCACACTCAGTAGTGTACAGCAATGATCCTGTCACACGTGCAGGATACAGTATTATTGGGCTTCAACCAGCAGGCCTCTGTGCCTCTGTCCCTACGCCCAGAGTTCAGGCTTCATGCCCTTGAATTCTGTCAACATTCCCCTTTGTGTATCTCTAAGTGACTCACTCATTCAAGCTGCTGCTAAGTATTCATTCACTTCAACTACAGACTGACAACTCCCAAACATGCATCTCAAGCTCAGACTCCAATCCAAGCCCTGGCCTCATTTTACCAACAGTCTGCTTATTCCTGCCTGCTACTGCCCGTGCCCCTGAATGAGCTTTGCACAGGCCCACTCCAAATCTTTGCTTCTCCAAAGCTTTCCCTTCTGTGACTATTCACACCACTGCTTAAGGTAAACTGTGAATGGCTCCCTCCCCTCCTCATGCCCCCACACCTCCCCGCCACCTCACAAGCAATCCAGAGGCAAATACTGGAGATTCCACTCCTGCAGCATGCCTCAGATCCATCCGCTTTATACCCTCAGCAGCACCATTCTTGTTCAAGCCACCATCATCTCAGGCCTAGAAGAGTCTCTTCTCTTAACTGTTCTCTTCTCCTCTACTTTTGCTGCCCCAAGGTCCATTCTCCACATAAGATGCAATCTTTTAAAACATAACTTAGATCATGTCACTCCCTTAAGACCCCTGAATGATTCAACTGCATTGTGACTAAAACCCAGTTCCTTACTGTGTCCTTTTAAGGTCCTACATAGTTTGGTCCCTTGCTGCCTGCCTGCCTCTCCAATCTGACCTTAGGCCACACACCCTCCTCCTCCTCGCTGACTCCATTCCAGCCGGGCTGACCTTCTTACAGTTACTCAAATGGCCCACGACGGTTATTACCTCTACACTGGCATTCTTTAGATAGACAGCTCCCTCCTATCCTTCAGGTCCCTGTGAGATGGCATCTTCTAAGGGAGGCCTTCCCAGCTAAAGCGGGGCCTCCATTTTAATTTCTTCACAGTACCTTCCTTGTTCATTTGCTTCTTAACAATTTTCTTAATGATTTGTAACTATATCTATTAGTTTACGTAGCATCTTGCACACATTAACTTTTTCACCAAACAAACTAATGAGGAGATATATCTTAGGCAAGGCTAACTACAAACACTTCCTACTGGCTAATACAAGATGCAAAAAAGATCTTCCAAATATTAACTACTATACATTTTAAAAAAAGATAAAAAACAAATCTATTCTATATAGCACACGGAAGTATATTCAATACCTTGTAATAACCTTTAATGAAAAAGAGTATGAAATCAAATGTGTGTGTGCACATATATATACATATATACATATATATACATATATATATACATATATACATATGTATATATGTGTATATATATATATATATATGGCTGGAACATTGTGCTGTGCACCAGAAATTGACACACTGTAACTGACTGTACTTCAATTTAAAAAATAATAATAAAAGAATTTTAAAACAACCAAAACAAGACCTTACCTTTTCGATTTTTTTCTTTTTCACAGGGGGGTCAAACCTATCATTGACTCCAAAATACTGAGTAAGCTCCTTCAACTGGGTTTCACTTGAGGACTGTTCACTGAAGGAAGACAGATAATAACTTATGTTTTACACAAAAAGTACTTATTTTTACTTTTACTGTTTTTGTTTTTAATTGGTTGCTACAATTGCATCATAACAACTAGTTCTCAAATTTCAGAGGTAAGAAGTTCACCTATTTGTACAAGTTCTACAACACTGTCTAAAACAGAAAGAGATTTTAAATTCCACTTACCTACGAGATTCTTCTTCATTCTTCAATTTACCTGAAAAGAAACCACAAATTGTCAATACCTAAGTATTTGGGTATTTCAAAATTCCATTTATTAAAAACTGTTGGGCTCAACTGGTCACAACTTAACATTAGCAATAATGACAATTAACCTGAATTAAAACAAAACACCTTTTCTGGAGCGTTTTCTTTTTTTCCTTCTGGATCCTGAGGTTGAGATTTTCTGTTCAGAACGTTTTTTATGCAATTCTTGAAATTTCTATATAAAAGTAAAAAAAAAAAAAAGAAAATGAGAAGTATATGTTTTGAAACAAAGCACACATTCAAAAAATAACACATAACGTAATAAAAATTATATTCTAATATTTATAAAAATAAAAATTTAATTAAAGTAGTTCAGTTCTTCTTGAGATACCCTATTGTCTGAGACTCACAACCTGAGTTTTTAGCTTCATTTATTTCTAAATAAGTCAATCTCATAATATAAGAGTAAAATTCAATGACTCATATAGATAACAAAGAGATTAAGACAGAAACTCTTCTTGTATTATGTTAGGCCAAGTAGCTAATCCTACTGTTTTTTTTTCTTCCTCTTTTTTATATAAAAAACAAAACAAAAATGAAAGGAAGTATCTGAGCGCCACAGACCCACAGAGTAATAAAGGTATTCTGAGTCAATCCTCCCTACCTATCACCTCCCCAAATCACAAACATTCTGCCCATGGCAGAGACACACACACACAGGACCAGGCACATACACACAAGCGCAGGCGTTAATAAGAACACATCAGGGGGTAGGGGTATAGGTCAGCTGGTGGAGCACATACTGAGCATGCACTCGGTACTTGGTTCAATTCCCAGAACCTCCATTTGAAAAAGAAAAATGAATAAATAAGAACACATCAGAGAAAACCTACATTCCACATATTTAGGGGAATTCCAGAGGGACACTCTTCATATGCATTCACATTTGCCTCTGCTTCAGCTTTTGGTCCATCGGTAGGGATATCTGAGGTCTCTGTTTCTGTAACGGTCCCATCTTCTTTATCCTCCTGTAAGTTATGGCCAGAGCTCTCTGATGTGGCTTCATCATCAGAATCCAACTCAACATCACTTTCATTTAGGCCAGGAGGTAGCAGCCCACTCCACATCTTTTCTTCTAAAGGAAAAAAGATGAATTAAGACATATAAAGTGACATGGAAAGAAGTTTAAAGCCATTAAAAGATACCCCAGGAATCTAGTAATTTATACCAATGGTTTGGGAACAGTCTAAATTTTTTTTTATTGGTATAAAGTAGAATGTACCCTCCATATTAAAATAACTTAAATCTTTTGCGTGTATAAATTTTTTAAAAAGTGTAAAGCAGTTTAAACAAGTTTGTTATAAGACACACTTACAGATGAATGACTTCAAGGCAACAGAACCTTGATTCTCTAATATATGTTGATTCTCTAATATATGGATAATTTTGTCCCCAAAAAAGAAATTCAGTGAAAGCATTCATTGCTCAAGAATATTAGCCTAACAATTTTAGGCTGCAGGTAATTTAACAATTATTATACTATATTTCAAGACATAACAATTACAGAAGAAAATAAAATTGAATGTTCCACCTGTATTTGAATGTATAAAACTTTAGGGGACTTAACTAATTGTCTAAGGAGTAGACAATTATTCAAAAGAAAATTTTTAAGCTGTGCAAGCAGTTTGAGAAAAGTATCGTGATAAAAAGGATGTTCTAGTTTTACATTCTATACTGCTTGCTAACATAATACTAAATGCAGTGTAATCCTAACAATTTAATTTAAATGTACAGCTTTTTAATATAACAATATTGTATTTGGGAAACAAGTTAAAGTTCAGGATAATTTTTATTGTTAGTTATACAGCCCACTGGTAGGGAGAACCATTAACTATTGTTGAGTCTAATAAAAATGACTTAAAAATTGAGGTTGTAATTATGATTCAAAAGATGCCTAGGATAGAGAAGTTGGTTGTACTGCGCATGATTTACTACCAACTTGAAGGAATAAAATGGAAGGATGCAAATCTTTCTTGCTGAGTTTTCTGCCCCCTATTGTGTTAACCTAGTAAGAAAGCCACCGGCATTGTCTCCGCCGGATTCCGCATCACTCTGAAAAAGACTCCTGACAACTTTTAAGACCCTCCTCCCAGGTCAGAAGAAACTGGCGCTTACTCTTCGCAGTTTTGGTCCAGCTTATCGGCTGCTAGCTCTCTGAAACATCCTCACCAAAACACTCTCTTGCCTTTTTAAGAGGAAGGGCTCTGACATCTAACTGCTCCAATTGTAATTCTGACTCCACTGTATTCTAGTGCTATGAGGGAATCATTTTAGCACCTCTGACCCTCAGTATTTTCATCTGTAATACTGGGATAACTACACTGCACACAGGGTTATTCTGAGGATGCAATGAGATAAGCCACCGAAACACTCAACAGTGTCTAGGAGGTTCTGGAGACCCAATCAACACCAAGTTCTTCTTGCCTATTATTTCTGCAGCCACGTACTGCATTTTTATCACTTCTATTATGGGTGGCAGCATTCAAAAGGTCGTTTTGAGGTTTCTAACATTTGAGGTGCATTCACTTAGCAACTGATATAAATCATTTACTTCCCCGATTTCCACAGTCTGACATGAAGTTTCTATAAAAATGTTGGTTGTTTCTGAATGGAGCAATAAAATCAGAAGCAAATTACCAGAAAGATAATGGAATCTAAGCTTCAAGGCTTTTTTTTGCACAGGTCCTTTCAAAGTGCTATACCTAATTGTCTATTTAGAATCTGTATTTCTTTCTTTCAAATTACATAAACTCCAAGCCCCATAAAACCTGGACACATCCCTAAATCTGGCCTGAGGATTTAAAAAAGTAAGAATGGAGGTAATCTCGCGATACTCTGCGAGCCCAAAGGACATCGTATAAAATATGCCAATATTGAAAGACAGATGTTGAGCTAGTTAAAAAATACTGTTCTAAGAAGCGGGGGTGGGGGGAGTGATAATAAGTTTCATCATGACTCTGCCACTGGCATATAACACACCTTAGGCTCACCCTCCATTTCAGGACTTAGGGACAGTAACAAATTTCAGAGTTAGCTTTCTTAGCATAATTGGGGTTCTATGTTTGAACCCACTGTTTCTTTCCCCTGTCCATTGCATCTTTGACATGCCCCCTATGTGCCTGGCCCTCTTCAAGACATACAGCAGTATACACAACAGGCAAAAATACCTAACCTCATAGAACCAACATGTTACACAAACGGCAAGCGTCTGTCCATTAGCAGCCAAGTACCATTCAGCCTAGACTTCAGCTGTGGGTGCTCAAAGGGGATGTGCCTCTCAAAATTATCTATTTTTAGTTCTTGCTGATGTGGCATTAAGAGCTATCCTCAGGATGTCACTGGATGGTATGATCATTTCTTGTGTGCACCCACAGGGAGAAAAAAACTAAAACAACTTTTAAAAAGTGGACTCTGTCCAAATCTATAAAACAAGGCAAAGTTGAAATCAGGTGTGTTTCTGAACTTAATTCCTAAACATCTTTAAAGTGATATGCCAGTCTCCTGTGACCATAACATATGCACACGCACACACACACACACACAAATACTAGGGCAATTTGGTGGCCACTGAGGACCCTGCAAAGTGAACCTGCCCACCTGAGCAGCAGCTCCCCTATAAATCACCTATAAGCCACTATGCAGTGGCTGCCCTGTGACTTGCTTTGGGCTTACATTTGACAACACTGCCTTTCTGTTCACAGCATGTACATGTCCTTCGTGCATTTCCAACTGTAACGGTACCAACTGGTCCTATGTTAGGCCTCCTGTTACTTCTGTTTTGGTTGCTCTGGATTATGATTCTCTAGTTCTTTGAAATGTCTCTAATTCTTTGCTTTTCAGAGTGTATTCATTTTAAAGCAGATCGCTCCAAATTACCCTTCAAATGCAAAAATTACTCAGCAACTCTCAAGAGACGTGATATACCTGAGAACAAGAAACTTAAGTTTTTAGTGTAGATTATAGCCAAGTCTACAGTACGTATTAATACGTAAGCTTTCATGTCTTTAGCCTATAAGTCAAATTTTTAATTTAATCATTTTAGCCCCGAAGAAAGCGTAATTCAGAAACTCTTTTTTCTCTATGGTTTTGAATGTCAGCTTCTTCATTTCATATACTCTCTGCCTCTGGAGTGAAGTTTTTTTTCCATTCCACTATTATTCTACAAAATAAAATTCTGTGTATACTACACAGAGCACTTCTTTAGTACAGGGCTGATACAATTTACAATGAACAAAAAATATTTCTGTATCATTTCAGTCTGAGTGGCTGGGTTGTTTTCTGCCCTTGGAAACCACACACAGTCACCACTCAGCACACCTGGGCAAGGCATCTAGAACATGACACAGCTCAGCAGTCTCTCATCTAAGGGTTTTCAAAAGTTTTATGAGGACAGTAATGGAGATCTCTATGCTAATTTCAATATTCAAAAAGCCCAATATATTTTATTTGCCCTCAAACAATACCGTCCACCTTTAAGTCAGGAGACTTAAATCAATGAAACATTATTCTTCACCACACAGTCATTCATCAGAGGCTCTAACTGGTTGCTATAGACTTGATTTTCATTCAAAAACAAAAACAAAAACTAATGAATATAGTTTAGTAGACACAATCTTTCAAAATACAGCATCCATGAAGGTATCAAATTATAATAAAAGGGGTTCTAGGTTGTGGAAGGATTGGGAACCAGACGGTATAGTAGGAAAACAAACAAACAAACAAAAAAAACACTGTTTTGAAAGTCAAAAGAGGTTTCTAGTCCTGAACAACCTAATTGTGGGTAAACCACTGCATCAATCTTACGCTATAACATGAAGGGTTTGACCATATCGCTGAGATGTCTTGCGGCTCTAAAATGTTTCTTTATGGATCTCAATATTATATGTGCTCAAATGCCCAGAATCACCTCATTCTCTGCTGTAACACTCCACCTTCTCAGACACAATACTGATTAAACCCCAATACCCCAGAAGATAAAGTTTCTCTCCTAACCTCGCCACCACAGCCATGATTGCTAGTTTTCAGCAAGACTGCACTTCAGAGAGGACACCTAAAAGATGCTCTGGAGAAAGGGAAGGAAATTCCAATTATGACAGAAAAAAGCAAAACCAGAAAGAAAAACAAAGCGGGTCATAGCTGTATGTGACATACAACGTGACAGGCACTGTTTTACCCTTAATCCTCAAACCACCCTTCCACTAGGCATTATTATCTAAACTCCCTTTACAGATGAGGGAATTGACTCACCTAATGCACTGTGAGCCACTTAAATTACAAAAACAGAACTCTATAGCTTCAAATTATAACTTTTGGAGGGCAGAGTTTAAGTATTAATATATTCTTGGAGACAAAGATTTGATAGTGGGTCTGAAGAATGTCTCCAGCCTGCAATTCTGTTTAAAATTTGACTCAGAAGAATTTTTTCTCTTTTTTTTTTTTAAGGGCAGAAAGCTATGTAAAATACTATACTAAATTGCATACATTAAACTCACTTTCAGAGGTACTCGGGTATTTATACTTAGGTAATAATGTCACATTTTCTAGAAGTCCAGGCAACTGTTTACATCCAAAACCTAATCTGAGCAGTTTAGCGGGTAAATGTCCCCTGCCTCTAATATTCCAGAATTTCGATTCCATTTTTACTAAATGAAGCTGTCTGACTTCCTAAATTTTGTATTCAGTTAGAAATAATCACAGAAATCTGAACCTTGTCTGACCTGAATTTAATCTTACTTGTATGACAATCATAAACCACCATCCATCAATCTGAAGACCGTGTTAAATAATTCACACAATAATCAGTTTCTGTGGCTGGGAATTAGTTATTTAATTTAAATACTTTTAAGTTTGTTATCATCAACATTAGTGTAAATGTCCTATTCACTTTTATAAAATAAATGTGTTCCCTTTTCTCAAAAAGGTAGAGAAAGGACAACTAAATCACAGGCCTGACTTCGGATTTAAGTTACCAATCTGATTACCCACATAAATCAGCAATTTGGCAGGATTTTGCACGTATGCATGTGTTTTAATTAAAGAGAGTGTTCCGTTTAGTCAAGCGCTAGAAAACACTTCCCCAGACTCAAGACCCTGCATGGAAAGCGTCACAGGTAACCAATAACATTTGGAGGCTCATTTTCAATAGTATGCCGCGGTGAGAATACTTACAGGGTTCAAGACTGCAGGAGCGTGGCTCTAGAAAGGTACACCTTTTCCTGCTTGGCTGCACAACCCGGCACTCCGCAGGCTCTCTGGAAGCAGGGTCACACTCCGATCCCCAAACGGGAAGAATCCCCTCCCGGCACGGAACTAAGCGCCGCAGATTCTGATGCAGGATGTCGAGTTTGCTGACACTCCCATCAACTGCAGCTCTTTTCCGGGTACAGCAACTGTAAACAGGAGTCTGTTTCCCGGTTCGAAAGTCTCCTCAACCCCTCTCAGTCTGGCTGGGGTGGGACGGAGAACCCCTCGCCCACCAAGAGGCTGGGGAAGGCTCTCCGACGCCCTGTCCGAGCAAAGAGGACGCCAGCTCCGCCGACGCTCCCGCGGGCCCGACCGAAGGCTCTGCGGGCTCGGCCGAGAGGCTGTGAGGCCGCCCACGCCGGCTCCCTCGCTCCCCGCACCCGGCCTTCCCAGCTCTGTCACGCCTGAGCCAGAGCCGGCCAGGAAGCAGCCCCGCAACCAGCCCTACTCACCCATCGGGAGCCGGCCGCTCGGCAGCCATCTTAAGACCCGCCAACATCGCGCTTTCTCATTGGCTCCGGCATCTCAGCCAATAGGCTGGGGCCGTTCTGGCCTGTGGTCGCCATGGCAACCGGCCGCGCTTAGCTGTGTTTTCAAATTGATTTGAAGGGGGTGATTCGTCTCTACTTCTTTTCTTCCTGCTTTTCTTTCACTGTTTCCCCCTTTCTTCTAGACGTGTTTTAAGACTTTGTTCTTTCTCCATCCCCTGTCGCACTCCGGTGCCCCTGTTGAGGAAAGTGCTCACTTAGACCTTGAACTGAGTTCATTCCCCCAAGGAGGGAGAATCCTTGCAGAAGCTCTCTAGACCCTTCTGGGAACCCTTCCATTCATCCATCCTTTCCCCCTCGTCCCCTTCCTTACTTTTTTTTTTTTTTCCTTCTTTCTTTCTGGACATATTTATGGAGTATGCACCCTGCCAGCCTCTGTTTGAAACAAAATGGTCCGGTCTCCTGCTCTCGGGGTGCTTACCATCTGGTGATGGTGGGTGGCATCTACTTCAGTGACCAGCTGTGTGGCCTTCGCCAAAAGCTCATTGAGTTCCTTTTCCGTAGCAGCCACTGGTTTAGGCTCTGAAAAGGGGCTTCAGGGAACATAAAGAATAAGCAAGGAAAAAAAATAAAATCTCTATGAGGAAAATGAAACAGAATAATATGACCGTGATGAGAGGAGGGCTATTTTAGAAATGCTTCCGTTTTCTGAAATAGCGTTTTGTAATAATAAGAATACATCCCTATTTTCCACAATTATTTAACAAAATATACATAAACTCTTTAAGGCGTTGTCTGTCCCACGGTAATTTTCAATCTTTCAGCTATTTGTTATTATTGTCAGTTTTATCAATAATGCCTTTCTTTGATGCATTCTAAAAATGTGTATTGCACTCAATAATACATCATGATTTAGTATAAACAGATGTTTAAGTGTATTACTTAACTATCCACCACTTCACCCTCATCTGTCTCCCAGGAGGTGTGTCCAGTGTATGGAGCAGTTTTCTATAACCCCAGAATCAGAGCAAAACCAGGGTTAGGTTGACAGGGTTAGGTCACTGAGGTCCTTTGTCACACTCACATTCTCTGATTCTAGAATAGAAGCAGGGCTGAGTGATTTAAGGATCTGTATGAAACTCTCCTGACCAAGTGTGTCCAGCATCTCAATGGTGTTTTCCCTGAATCCAAATCTGCACAAAATTAAGCAGTTAAAGAAAGGATGTGTATGAAAATGCTATTGCGGCTATTACATTGAGCCTCTTAATTGCCATCTTAGTCTGCAGGTTTCATTCTGTGGCCTCTAGGCTTGTAGGCAGCAGCCATATTGCTGTGCACTTGTGTAAGAAGAGGGAGAGAGAGAGCGAAAGGGCTATCTGGTGTTTTTTCTTAAGAGGATACTAATCCTATTGGATCAGGGCCCTACCCTTATGACCTCATTTAACCTTAATCAATTCCTTAAAGGCCCCATCTTTAAATACAGCCACCTGGCGGTTAGGATTTCAAAATATGAATTTTAGGGGTACATAAACATCCTGTCCATAACAAATGCTGATGGTGGAGGTGTAACCAAAATGAGAAAAGAGAGCACCAAGAGGGAACTGAGATGTGGGGTAGGAAGGAAATATTGCTGGCCTGTTTAAGAACTATCTGGACTGTCTCTACATACGTTCCATCAAAGAATACTCATTGTTTAGTGCATATAAACATGCAAAGGCCAGAGGGAGAATATAGTTATAAGTACTCCAAAGCCTTAACAAACACCAGATTTCACATCATAGTTTTTTGGAAAGCCTTACCCTAAAAATACGTATTTTAAAATTTTCTCAATGTTAATTTGAGAATTCTCAAATATCTGATTGTTTGCTCTATGATATTGTTGGATTCCTGTAATAAATGTAAATAGCTCAGACTTTTCTTCTGGTTTTGGTTGTAAGGCTTTCAGTCTCTGACGATTATTATTTTGCCAGTTTTCTGGAGGAAATGTCAGTCATTTGATTTATTTTAATCAATAAATTTACCTCCCCTCCAGCAAATTCCTGCCCTGGAAACTTGCCAAACCATGCCTTTTGTGAATGAAATACTTGTACTTGTGAGATTTCTATGAAACATAGAATTATTGAATATCTTTTACTAAATCACAGTGCATGTGATGCAGCTAGTGAATTGTGTTCGAATTGTGTTGCATCTGGCAATAATTTCAAACATGTAAGTTTCATTTAAATTTTCAAACATCTTAAAAATCATAAAACAGTTTTTCTTTGCCAAGAAATATAATAGTTTGTGAATCATTTCCCCCTTATATTTAGTAACTTTTATTCTTAGTGTAGAGATTACAAGTCACATTCATGTTATAAAAGATTAATTGTGGAGGCCTTTTTTGGTAGCTACTAAATCTCTGATTGATGAAAATTTCCCCAAATATAATGAAATCCTTTAAATATTTCTCAGTTGGAAAAAGTGAATATGACTTTGTTGAACAAATGATAAATGCTGAACTTCTTGCTGAAACTGAGAAAGAATAGTTACTTCAGTCTGTACAAAATGCCTCATTTTCTGCATTGAAGAAAAGTCAGTCTAGTGACATGTGAGAGAATAGAAACAAGGGAGTTCTGAACTTTAGGAATTGTGTGACAATTTCTCTATCTGGATTTTTTTTTTAATTTGCAACTTGAAGCATCTGTAAACAATGTTAATCTTCCAAGGTTATGTTGAACAGCTAACACTATGACATCTGCAAGAGTTGACATTTGAATGAACAAAATTTTTATACTATAGGATGTTACAAAGAAAAGTACTTTCTCTGTATTCATCATGTCTGGGACTTTCAAATTCTTCAGGTCCAACAGGTTGTGCATAAGAAGATAGAAAAGGAAGGCTTATTGAGCATTTCTGGGTGCTAGGTTTTTTGTAAATAGTGTCATAGAAACCTATGAGGTAGCTATTATTGTATCCATTTTACAGACAAGGATGTTAAGGCTTCAAGAGCTTAAGATGCTTGCCTAATGTCACACAGCTAGTCACATGCAAAACCAGAGTGAAGAAGTTTCACTGGACTGACTCTGAAGCTCCTACTCTTCCCACTGTCACACTCTGTCCCTTTTACAGTGAAGTTCCTGATAAATCCCAGCATAGTGCAGTCAATAAAGCATAGACATCATTACTACACAGTGTGATGTGTGCCAGGTGGGAGCTCCTGAAAAGAGAGGCTTCAGGAGCAAAATGTGTCTTCTCTCTCCATACCTCCCAGTAGCTAGGGAGTGATCCAATCCCAGCAGAGGCATCCTCTTCCATCATTCCTGACTGCTACATTGAAGTCTATGAAGTCTCCCTTTTCCTAATACCTTCATCTTCCAAAACAGCCCCTTGCCTGATTCATTTCTCTAAACGAAGGAACACATGAAAGGCTTTTTATACAACCTCGCATGTGGTCAGTGGTCAATAAACATTAGTTTCCTCCCTTCCACATAAAAACTAAGGTGTGTATTTTTATGTGTGGAGGGCAGGGATGGGGACAGAACAGGCAGAGCGCAGAGGATTTTTAGGGCAGTGAAAATACACTTTATGATGCCATAGTAATAGATATATGTCACTAAACATTTGTCCAAACTCACAGAGTGTACAACACCAAGAGAAAACTGTAATGTAAACGATGGACTTTGGGTGATTATGATGTGTCAATGTAGTTTCATCACTTGTAACAAATGTACCACTCTGGTGGAGGATGTTGGTCATGGGGGAGGGGAAGTCCTCTATGAAAGGTCTCTGTTCCTTACCTTCAATTTTACTGTGAACTTAAAGGTGCACTAAAAAATAGTCTTTTTATAAAATCATAAGAAGAATAAGGCTTCATTACTTGTGAAAATTACATGGAGTCCAAATTTTAGTGTCCATAAATAAAATTTTATGGGAACACACATACAAAAAAACAGTACATAAATGTTGACAGATTATCAGATTAGTCTGTCAGCATCTTTGCGGTCTTTACTATGTGCCCAATGCTTAGCACTTTGCTGAGGTTTGAGGAGGATACAAATGAAGTATATGAACTGGCCTGTCAAGAACTTTGTGGTCCGAGACATGTAATGTGGTTATAAGTGACACATTTTGCACTATAAGTACTAAAATTACGAGGTCTATGATGTAAGTAGACATTGCAGAAGTCCTAAGATGGAATTTAGTACTTGCTGTTTCCTCTGCCTGGGATAATTTTTTCTTTTATACCTGTTGAACTTTTCACACTTCAAAACCTAGATCAAATATTACCTTCTAAGTTAAACCTTTCCTGATTCCTACCGTTCATGCCTTTCTCTTCTTTATATCTTTCTAACAATTGTTACGCAGCACAACTGGGCTTTCTCACACTGCAATAGTTGTCATAGTTCAGTCTACCCTGATAGATGGTGAGCTCCTTTGAAGACACAGTCCTTGTCTTGCAGTAGATACTCAGTAAATGTTTGTGGAGAGGATGGATGGATGATGGAATTGGAGACATCAATGCATGAGATGAACAGAAGTGGGGAAGGTGTTTTAGGAGCACACATGAGCAAATGCAGAATGGCAGGAATGCTCTGTTTTAGCTACGACACAAGAGACCAACTTGGGTCAGACTCTAGGGACCCGCCTAAGGCAAACACAATTTCTACCTTGAGACAGTGGAGGGAATTAAAGGATTCTGATGAAGGGACGGATTAGAAGAAGCAGGTGCTCCAGGGAGATTAATATTAGAGTCTTGTGAATGTGAAAGACAGATTTCAAGGTAGTTGAGCTGACACAAAAGAATCCCAGTTAGATGTATTTATGGAATACATAATTCACATCTGCACAAAGACAATGTTACTGGAGGAGGAGGGACAAATCTACTGCTCAACTCTAATATGTTCCCCATTCATTCATTCATTCGTTCGTTCCCTTTTATTCTTGCTTTCATGTCTTTGCTCTTTTACTGCTCTCTGCT